CAGCAGCGCACTACACCCACTGCAGAGCGGCAGCCGCCACTGTCCCATGCACAGATCAGGGAGGCGCGCGCCCGCATGGCCTCTGCTGGGGTGCACGCAGCGGCAGGAGCCCCTCTGTGCTCCCTATGACTTTTTTAAGTACCCCTAGGAGTACACGTACCCCTGGTTGACAACAACTGGTCTAATTCTTCATCTAACATCTAAAATAAAATAAAAATATTAAGTGAGCGTGAATTTAAAAGGACTGTTTCCATTTTCTTCAAGGCATTAGTTCATCAAGAGCTGGATTCAGACACTTTGCCGTCTTTCAGCTTAGAGTACTCTTTGCATTCAATGAAAATGTGTGTCCCTCTGAAATAATTTGCATCAGATACCAGCAGGAGTAGTATACCGCATGAAAACAAACATGGGGGGGGGCTCTAACAAAGGTAATTTGTCTTATATTCTAAGCATGAATAATTCTTATGTCACATGCCACAAAACCACCAGAGATAAGAAATAAGGATAATGGGACAACAGTTTTTTTGGCATACAATAGTCTTAGGAGCAACATCATGACCAGATTGTGTTATAATTCTATTCCAACAGCATGTCAGAAACCTTAGTTACTTCACAGATTGTGGTTTCCTGGTTGCACAGAGGGAACACATGAAAAGAAAGATGCATTATGTAAGTCAGATACTGATGAATAAAGACCCTAATATCTATTTAATTTGATAAAGAATGCTTTATGCTTCTTTTATTTAGGATTTCTGAAGTCACAATCAATAAATGGCACAAAAATATGCTCTTAGTATCTCTATCTTTCAGTTACATAACTAATCAGAACTATTGAATGCTTTATTGTTTAGCTGTTCTACCATTTGTGTTTGCACTCAGATCAATACACAAATTAAGCATTATCTTGATTAACACATCTTTGAAACTGAATTTTAAGAGGATCTTCAATGTTTTGTACAAAGACTGACAGATTTATGCTTCCATGAAAGTGACTCTAGCCTTTTATTTTTGTTTTCCTGTCATTGAACAATACATTTTCCACAAGGCTGGGAGAAAGAAGCCTCTTGACAAAACTAAGTTATTCTTCTAGAAACAAAAGACAACAACATAGCATGCATATTCTATGCTGGTATAATTATCAGCTCAAATAGTAACAACCCTTGAACTAAAGATTCAGTGATGAATAGCTAATTGCAGACTTAAATAATGAAAGGATATTGAGATCAACAAACACTGTAAAATGAGTATGCACAATTTACTTTTGATTTAAGAGATGAAACTTACAGAAAGAAATGAAAAATGATAAAACTCTGGCATGAGGAAGTAAAAAAAAAAAAGGTTTTTTTCCCCCAGCAGCAAAGCTAGCTTATTGTGATGCAACATATTCTTACCTTACAAAAGAGTACGCATTTTGCTTCAGAGTATGTTTACACAGGACAATGCAGTGGCATGCTCAGTTAAAGTTGAGCTAACTTGAGTACTAGACAGAGTAGTTGGTGCTTCAATGGATTCAGAGGTAGCTTATGTATGCCTACGTAACATAATGTATGGTCCTTCTTATAAATTTACATACATTGGAATCCATTATGATTGTTTTTTTAAACCTATTTTCTCCTATTCCAGGGATAACACACATACACACATTAGAGCCATGCTTAACTCAAACTGAGCACATCTACCAGATACGCATAATGCACAGACTAATTCTACTGCGCATTAGTGTGGTGGGCAAAACCCATGCTAATGCGCAATAGATTTAGTCTAATGCACATTAGCATCACTAAAAACATTCATCTACACTAATGCACAGTAGCGCCAATAACAGATCAATAAGTTAATACCTGTCAATGTACCATAATTATGGTGCATTAAAGAATGTGTAGACACTCCCACACATTCATTTGACTGACCTCATTTTGCATATTTGTTTGAAATGAAGCTTTTCACGTATAAAGCCTAACTGGGTGATATTTTGCAAACTCCATAACAATCTTTTCACATAAATATTTGCAAATAGATTTTTCCTTATATTTGAGGTGGGAACAACATCTGGGTTGAATCCAAGCATGGAAAATTTCACCCAAATATAAGCACTCTTTTCAACCAGAACCAGACTCAATATAAGATTGCCTGTATTAAAACATTTCAGTATTTAGTTTATCAAGGACTGTTTAGTGTCCCAGCAGTCCTTGATAAACTTTTTCAAAACATAATTTGAAAAAAGTACTTCAAAGTGATAATTTGCAATAAGTAAATTTCAGCTTGTAATTTCTTGAATACTATTTAAAGTCAAAGTTGTGATTTGCTTAACTTTTGTTACAAAAGTCTTACTGACTCCAAAAAAAGACAAAAGCTTAGTGCTAAGTATATATAGTCATAAGCCAGAGTTCAGAGGTTACAAAGACAAACTCACTTGTCAGCTGAGCTTTAGAGAATTTTTCTGTACAGCTGTGCTCCTGGTCCTGTAGGTCCAGCCATTCCTCTGCTCGAAACAGGTGAAGTTTGGCTTCTTTTCCCACAGCTGCGGCAACATTGTTGATTCTGATACACAGAACAGCATGGTCACCTTAATATTTAAAAAACAAAATCAACTATGCTTGGATTATGCAAAGAAGGAAAATTATCTAGGAAGATATTGCAAGTGATAGTACACAGTCATTTAAGTGAGCAGTATATTAAGTCCCTTTTCATCATTTTCTACTGAAGTCTTCATCTTTCCCAGGAGCTGCTGTTGTTAGAAAACCTTATGAAGTAAGGTGGAGCCTCAATCTTACACCCCGCAGATTAGATCCAACCCAATTTCTCAATCTGGCCTGTTGGGCCACCAGCTGGGGGCACAAGCTGCCAAAAACGTGGGGACCTTTTGCTTCACTGGTCATGGCTATTTGTACTGAGCCAAACTCACTACCAGTTACCCCCAAAATTCTGTTGGACCCGACCCCCATCTCCAGATCTGCTGTTGCACCCAGACTCCCACTGCTACAAAAGCCTCATCCCCTGATCCACTGCTGCCCCTGAACCCCATGCTACCTCCAGGCCCACTGCTGCCGCCACACTGGTGGGATCCATCCTTGGGGCAACCACTAAGGAGTCCCACTGTGGGGCTGTGGCAGCGTTCTGGTGGTGGTGGTAGACTTCAATAGCATCAGGGAAGCAGCAGTGGTGTACAGTGCTTTGAGCAGTCAGCTTGAGCCCGCCAAAGTTTGTGGTGCATGTGTGCACCTAAGTGCATGGGGGGAAACAGGGGAAATGTGGGAGGGGAGGCAGAGGAAGCAGTGCCATAAAAAGAGAAAGGAGCGAGTTGGTGGCTGGTTACTACAAAGCGGGGACGATGTTGGGCGCTGCAGTGCTACAGACCAAGGGACCATTGCTCATCAGTCTGCCATAGTCTGTAAATACAGAGGCAACTCTTCTTCAGCCATCGTTGGAGTGGCAAAGCCTACTTGGCTTGGGTCAAACAGGCACTTTTCACCAAGGTTTTCCAACAGGCACAGCAAGAAATAGGGTCTCACAGCTCTGTGTGCAGTAGGGGTGTGCTTAAAGTGGCTACAGCTGTTAACTATCTGCATGTAAGGCACTCAATCGACTCTTCCAGGCTGTCAGCTAGTATTGCTGCTCTACAACCTTGTTTCCTTTTGGCACCTTACGTATGTCTGAGGATCCTCCAGGCAGCATTGCCAGGTGTACCATAATTACCGTATCCGTACAATAATTTCAACCCTTGAACGACGTACAATAATACTAAGTGTTCAAAACATATGGTAATTTGAAGCAGTTAATTGACACAGCATGTGCAAAACCAAATCACTAATCACTGTCAAGGAGGCTTAACAGACTTTTGGGTTCAGCTGCCTGTGCTTTCTTATGACCAGAGATCCTACTCTTCTCTGATAAAAGAAAATCCCCATTTCTTAGATAAAAAAGTAACCCCAAATCCACATTTTCCCATGATTAAAATGAAACGCCGCTAATATATAGATGTTTATATATTAGGGGAATTTTATTTCAATCATGGAAAGGTGTGGATTTGGGGGGATTTTTTTAAATCTGAAAATTGGGGATTTTTTTTTTTAAATCAGAAAAAAACCAGGATCCTTGCTTATGATGACTGCTTGCCATGAAATAAAGAAACACTTCACCTTTGCTGACCCGATCCTCACTCACTAGCGACTTAGTGAGCAATAGAAAGTAAATAAGGAGAAAAACTTATTTGCATGCTTATATTTTTTTTTTCGGTGCACGCCAGGTTTTGAGGAAAAAGCGATCCTTTGCGCTTCCAATGCGATAATTTCATATTTCAGACCTAGAGACGTTGCTGCCTCCAGGTCAGGGCGCCTCCCCGCCCTCCCTCCCTCGCCGGCCAGGGGGCGGAGCCAGCCCCGCCACGCGTCCCGAAGGCCGTAACGGCCTGCGGGCACCTACCGCGGAACTGGAAGCGCGCGGCGGGGCGGCCCGGCTGGGCCCTTGCGGCGGCGCTGGAGAAGCCGCCCCGCAGCGTCTTCCCGTAGACGACTACGCACAACGCAAGCCACAAGAGTACCCGCCGCCTCATTCCGGCCCCGCGGCCGCTTGAAGAATAAGCCCTGTCCCCAGCCCGTGCCGCCTGGGGCTGGGGCGCCAATGGGAGCCGTTCTTAGCGGGTAGGGGCGGGGCTAGCGGAAGCCCCCGCCCCCCACGACCCGGGTATCCTGGCTCTAAGCTGCTGTGACGTGTCTATCGTTAGGCTGGGCTGTAAAGCGGTGCCGCGTGGGTCATAGGTGCATCATGGCTGCTGTGGAAAGGGGCGAGGCTTGTTTCCTGATACAGGCGAAGGGCGGGCGGTGGAGATGGTGAAGGTTGCTCGGGCCGTGGCCTCACGCTACCAAGCAGGGGATAGGGAAAGGGGCGGACCCCGCCTCGCAAAACAGGAGGACTGGGGCATGCTGGCGGAGCGATCATGTGCCCCGACGAAAGAGCGGTGCTGTAAAGTGTCGTGGGAAGGGGCAGGCTGCCGTAAAGCGATGAGGAAAGGGCCTAGCTGGCGGCGGTCTGCCGTAAAGTGTGGAGGATGTCGGGGGCTGTGGGGCCGTGTCCAGCCTTCGAGAAGAGGCTGCTGGTGACAGGCGGCGCCGGCTTCATGTCAGTGGTGTGCGTGTGCGAGCGAGGCCGGGGACCTCTTGTCCGGCTGCGGCTGGGGCTGTAACGTTTGGAGGGGACGAGCAGCGCGTCGGTTTGTTAATGGGGGGCAACTACGACCGGTCCCACAGGACGAAGGGGCTGGTCCCAGCCTGGCTGGGTGGAGAGATGGGGGCATAGCCTGGTCGTGGGGCAGGGGGAAGGGAAGGGGGCACGCCCCAAACCAGCTGCTCAGGGAAGGGGATGCTGCCAAGCCCCAATCTGCAGGTAGGGAAGGGGACATGGCCTGACCCTGACCCCAACCCATCCTGCAGGGTTTGGGGTTTTGGCAGTGGGGAGGGGTGGCAGTTCTTTTTCTACCTGTGGGGCAGCCCTGGTGGCTCCTTTCCAGGACTCTGACTCCAGGCTGCATCCCAGGACTTCCCTCAGTGGCCCCTTTTCCCCCACATTTGGCCCGGGTTGGGGGTTGAGCACCCCTGGTATATTCATATATTCTTAGATATTAGGGGCTGGAAGGGACCTCACAAGATTATCGGGTCTAGTCCCCCTGCACTTGGGCAGGAAAGGCTGCTGGGGTCAGACAGAAAAGAACCACTGAAGTAGCAACATTTACAAGCTGAGAGTGAAAGTCTAAAATATCCATGAGAAAAGCTTCAGGAGGTGCCAGCCTGCTTTCTGCTTAGTATCCCAAGCTATAGGTGTAGTTGTAAAATTTGTATTTTCTTTTTTTTTTTAACTTACAGTGCCTCTCACGTGGTTGTCTCTCTAGTGGAAAAATATCCACATTACTTGATTATAAATCTAGATAAGGTAAGATTTGTGGAGGTTTTGGGGGAATGCCTTTTCAGCTGTTTGCATGTTTGTTCATTTTGTTTTCATTTTGCTAAAGAAAAAAATAAAAGGGAACAAATGAACAAGTGAGCCATGCCATAGCATGATGGCCTTGTTATGTGGAAAAAAATTACATTGGTTTGAAATTATTAAAATCTAGATTTGGTGCACTTCAAGGTAATTTAATATTTACTTGGTAAATAAGTAGCTTCTGACATGCCATGTTTCAAGAAAACAAGTCATCGTGGTAAGTTTTTCTTTCTTTTTTTTTAATGAAGCTGGACTATTGTGCAAGTTTGAAGAATCTTGAAGCTATTTCCCAGAAACACAACTATAAGTTTATTCAGGTATGATAGACTTTGGTAGATGTTTAAGTTTTATTTCACATTTTAATTTCTGTACAGCTAAGATTTAATTGGTAATGTACTTCCTCTTTTCTGCGTTTGTAGAATAACTTTTCTAACATGGTTTTTACTCAGGAAGGTGTCACTTGTGTTCATGACTGATTATTACTATCTGGTGAATGATAATGGGACCTGCAGAGAGCCACTTTCCTAGTGACATGTAAAGCTCGCTGTGGAACTGCAGCGGTAAAACACCAGAATAAGAGTTTTACCTGGGGTTGAGGAGAGACTTTATGAAGACTGTGAACACCCAAAAATGCCTCTACAAAAATTCCAATTTTGTTAGGGAACCATAGTTGCATATCTGTTGTATGCTTACTTTGAGGCCATGTTGCATTGTTGAAAAATGGCTGTATAGAATGCTTATGCTTTGTGCAGTGGTTTCATTAGGAATGAATATTGTGTGTGGGAGGAAGAGGGAGTTGTACCACAAAAGAATTTTTCAGATGTATTTAAATCTTTTATCAGTGTGAGAGTTATCATAATACAAACTTTGAAGTCACAGAAATGTTTAGGTTGGAATAGCATAGGAGCAGACTGCTTGTGTTGGTTGGAGAGTGACATACTGAACATCCATTTATGTCCTCCATAACAGTGTTTCTCACCCCATGGGTTGCGAACCAAAAGTGGGTCACAAGAATACATAAAAGGGGTTGCGAACAAACTTTGAAAATGGATCAACCAACTTAAAAATATGGATTTTCCTTTTAAAGGAGGAAAACATGGGTAACTGGCTTTTCCCCTGTATGGTGGGAGAGCTCCAGCCTGCGAGGGGTGCTTGGGCCCCACCCATGCCCAGCCCTTGCTCTACACACTGGGGGCTGGGTCCTGAAGGCAGCAGGTCATGAGTGAGGGGCACTGGGTTGGGACTGGCCATTGATGTTTACATCAATGGGTCTTGGTACAAAAAAAGTTGAGAACCATTGCTCCACAGGATGCAGTCCGTGTCTAGATTTGGGTATTGAATACTCCAGCAGAGTGGCTTGCTTCCCTATTATGTTCATCTTCCTCTTTTTATATCTTTTTACTCTTCTGCTTCTTTTGTAGCCTGTTACAGGAAGCTTTGGCACCACTGTTTTCTTGGCTGTTTGCTAAAATGTAGTTCTGAAGTCAGGAGAGTTGATTTAATTTTAAATCAAGTTGATTTAAATTGGTAGAGCAAAAGCTTGATTAAATCATTGATTTTTTTTTTTTTAAATTAACTTTCCCATTGTATTTTTTGTTGTTGTTTTTTTTAATTATATTTTTATTGGTTGATACAACAATTAAATGTTGATTTACAATTAATTGATTTACAATTTCTACAGTAGATTTGGTATGTGTGTTTCCTATGCATACAAACTAGATACATATTTG